GGGGAAGGGGAGGAGGAGGAGGGGAATTTATGCCGAGTGTGGTAGCACACACCTATAATCCCAGCATTTGAGAGGCTGTGACAGGAGGATCACTGTGAGTTCAAGCTCAGCCTGGGCTACCTATCGAGTTCAAGGCCAGCCTGAACTACATAGCAATACTCTGTCTAAAATAAAATATGAAAAAGGGAGAAAATTTCTTTTTCCAACATAAGATATTCCATTAGCCCAGGAAGCTAACCCTTACTCTGTGTTGGGTACTATTCTCAGCTCATCATGTATAGTCATTTTATTACTACAACTTTGAGGAATGGATTCAAATAATTGTTGTTTGATAAAGGAGGAATCTGAGGACCAGAAAGTTCAACTCATTTGCTAAATCACACAGTTATTGACATATGAAGACAAATTTGAACCCAGGTAGTCTGACTTGAGAACCACCCTGTTGAAACACTGTACAATATTTCATAGATTAATATCAGAGCAAGGCACTTTCTTAGGAGAGATATGGATTGCATAAACTTTACCGGAACTCTTATTTCCTCCAATCTGAAATTATTACAACTTAAGAAATGAAAGCAAATGAATTATGTGTGACTTCTCTAACAACAACAACAAAAAGTCATCCAGACAGCAATTCTTTAAATTCATAAAAACTACTTTAAACTTTCAGATTGCTGCAGTATCTGTTAATTTTCTGGGTCTGGTTTTCCAGGCTGTAAACCGGGATACCACTATAGCACAGCCTCCTTTTTTCCCCTCTTAATTAATGGTACTGGGCATTGAACTCATTGGAGTTTTTTTTTGTCTTTTTTTTTTTTTTTTTTTTTTTTTTATTTTGAGACAAGGTCTTTCTATGATTGCTAGGTTTCCCAGGCTGAGCTTGAACACGCAGTGCTCCTGCCTCTCAGAGTGGTGAGGAGTACAGGCCTGCCCAGCTAACAAAAGCACTTCTATTTGGCCACAGAGATATAAAAAAAATAACCCTTATGCATGTTGAGAAAGTAGAGAGACCATACACAAGAAGATGACTCGATCCTTTGGGCTTTTCTGTGAGGTTTGGAAATAGGTTAGGGAGATCCAGAAGACCATCCCTGGTCTAGAAAGTTTCACTTGCAAATTAGATCTTAAAGGGACCCAAACCGGAGGGTTCAGAGGAAAACAGCCTTCCATCTCGCATTCTCGGTGGAAGATCATCTGTGTGAGTCTCAGGGCTCTGGGTTCTGCTGATAGTCTCATTACAGCTATTTGGGGAATTTGGAACTGGATCACTCACAGGCATTTAGATTAGATGGGGTCTTGGGAATCCTCTTGTCCATCTCATCCTCATTTTACCAATAAGGACAATAAACAAGAAAGAGTTGTTCCAGGGCCCATCGGTACTGATATAAACTGCAACCAAAGTGGTCTCTCTGGCACTAATTTCATAGCTTTTATTTAACCGAGTTGGCCTTCATTCAGAGCATACCTTGACCTTTTAGATTAATGGACATGAAGCTCTGCGTGCTCTCTCCCTGTCCCTCCTGGCAGTTCTGTTGCCACTATGACCCGTAGTTACCTGGCTGTGCACCTGGGTGATTAATACCCTACGAGAACAAATATAATGACATTTAATGCTATGTCCAATACGACTACATACTATCTTAATGTTCTTATACTATCTGGAGAATTTTGTCTATTGATAAATATATAACTATAATCATATTGCCCATCCTTTTAAGAATCGTGCATGGGGACGGCCGGGGATTTAGCTCAGTGGTTCTGGCGCCTACTCACAAGCTCAAGGACAGGAGTTCGATCCCTGGTACCAAAAAAAAAACCAAAAAAAAAAAAAAGAATCATGGATGGGGAAAAATGTGACGTAAAATGCATTTTTCTTCTTTACTAACAATTTAAATGTAGACTACAAGGAAATCAATAATTTGCCTGTGGACATGTAACTGTATTTACTGAGACTTGCTTTTGACGGCCATACCAACATTTCATAAGACTTGCTTTTGTTCTTAAAGGACATATTAAATATCAAAACATTCCAATTCGTCCATGGGCATCAAATTGTGCCAGAACACAGACTATGGATCAAGGGAAGAAACAGATTTTGGAAGTCTCATCAAGTTGCCACACCCAGAGGTGACACCTGTTTGGATTCCCAAACACATGGTGCATACTGAGTGCTCCTCAAGGCTCCAGTAGAGTGTGGCTGTCAGGAACTGCACATCGGAACAGTGGGTCCCGATGCCCAGCCTCTACCTGGAGCGCTACAGTTTGCACACTGACAAGTCATCCTGTGTACAACAAATGATAAGCAGTTTCTAATACAGACAACTTAATTGTTTAAAAAGCAGGAAAGTTCCATTCCCTTGAACAATGGATTTTTAATTATGTCCTTTATAGATGCATCTTGAAAAGATAATTTTTTTACTCTGAGTTTAGAATATTGTAAAGGGATTTTTGACTGAGCAAAACAAAGAAATAAATGTTCGAGCTATCAAGGTTAGGTCAAAGGAATGGAACAAAAAGAAAAAAATGAAAAAAATGTAATTTAGGGACAAAAAGTTAGAAATCAAAATATGAAATATCTTACATTTGCAAGTAGAAGCAGTTGTCATGTGGCTGACTTTACTTCCTTTTAAAGAAATAGAGTGCTAGAAAAATAAATGTCTATATCTAGGAATAAATAAATATAAATACTTCCACTTAGCTTCACATATTATGGGTTTTTAAAACAGTGTCATGTTTTCATCCAATTTGAGATCTCACTCATATTTCAGTGTTGGTTCATCTCTAATTTTTTAATTTATCCTTATGTTTATGAAACTGACTACTATGCTTTATTTGGTAGAAGAATACAGACAGTAAGTACTTAACTGCCGCATATTTCCAGTTTCCTTCAAAATTTTGTTTGGATACGCTTCATGACTTTGAAACTGACCCATTCTATAGCCCAAACAAAGAACCATTTCCTTTGCCTAATCACTGCCTCCTGTCTTTCCTCGTAGCACTCATTTCAACAAGTGAATAAGAGAATGAGGTTTAGACCATTTAATTGTCTTACATAAATGAGTGATGGATGCTTGAGTATTGGTCATAGACAGTTGCTTCATGCATATAACCTTCTCCATATGGCACTGACCCCAACCAGACTGTGGCCAGACTGAGAGTAGTGATGGTGAACCTTTTAGATACTGAGTGCCCAAACTGCTACCCAAAAGCCACTTATTAATCACCAAGTACCAACACTGCAATTAATCCTGAATCCTGAGGTTTTAGTTTAGAAGAAACAACCCATATATTAACATCTTTTGTCACAAAAGAAAAACACAGTAACAGAGCTTACAAGCGGATTGGCTTTGCACAATTGATGTGATCTTTGCTGTTGTATGTATGCTGATAATTTGTCAAACTTTGACTCACACTTCGTTAGTTTGAGAGCAACTCAGGTAATCTGTTAGTCTCTTTCTTGTATCAGATTTAATGTAATTTAAGGCTGAAAAGAGCTGCTCACAAGCATAAGATGATCTAAACAAAGTAAGAAAAGCAATCCCAAGTGCTTTCATTGAGTTAAATTATTTGGCAAAGAATTCCACATTTTAAATAAGGATTTTATTTTCAGAACTACCAATTGCTGTTCTTTGTTATCCCTTCACACTTTATCTTGTCAAATGTTACGTGCAGGTCATAGAATTTATTTTTCTGGATAGAGCTTTCTTCAAATCTCAGTGGCTCCATTTCCAGATTTCCAAAAT